AAAAAAAAAAAAAAAGCTGGAAACAGAAAGATGACAGTAAAAGAACAAGTAAGGAACTACATGAGAAAACATAGGCATTATTCAACTCACCTTATAAATGCTCAAGAATCTATCGGCATGTCAAAATTGTCATCCAACTGAAGTACTGGTTCTTGAGTAATTCTTCACCATCCATTCATGAGGATATGGGTACAATATCTCCATGTTGAATTGCCAAACCATGATTCTTGAACAGTTCATTGGTAAGCCTTCCATTTGGCTTTCATCTTCCACCATTTGTTCGATAAATGTGCTCACCTGTAAATAAAATAATTAGGACTGACATTTTTGCATACGGTAATACAGATAATAGCTGTAACAGCCCTTCCCCTTTCTCTCAAGGGTGATTGGGACTGGTGCTCCAACTTCAAGTTCAGTTTCACTAGTCATGTTCTTGAAGGTACACCATCACATTAGCTGTGGTGAATGTGGAACTATCCACTAACAGAATATCTTATTTTAAGTACCAATCATCAGAGATCCAGGACAGAGGCAGAACTCACTTGAGAACTAGCTTTGGCTGTATCAGACTGCCTTATAGGTTCTAGTGTTGGTCGGTGCCACCTCTTTGTATCCCAAAGTATCGTACTATTGAATGCAAATCCCGATATTTCTGCATAGAATCTCTGAAGTCTTTTTGTCATACCTTCAGTGTGCCAACCTATAACCTGAGAGCCGTTACAGATTGGACCCTGCAAGATAACTTTCCTATTATTTTCAGCTAGTCTTGCCACAATCCATGTCCCGATCCGGCTGCATACAACAATTTTCTATCAAGAACGTTGATACATGGAATCATAGACTCAGCACACTACCTAGAGGCATGATTGGCATTTGGAGTCATAGACTAAATGGTTATACCAATATATATATATATATATATATGTTTTTTTTTTTGAAACTGGTAAGGTTGTATATATATATATATATATATATGTGATCAAGAAGCCATAGGAGTACGAAAGTTACTTGATAAGGATTTAAAGATGGACTATAAGAAAAATAATAACAGCTTAAGCAAGAAATAAAGGAAACGAGAACATGCAAATATCAACTAATTTGAACATAGGTAATGTTCTATAAGGATACAGACTACTGAAACTTGCTTCCACTTTGCTTTATATCACAAATGTAAAACAAGGTTGCTAACACCCCAAAAGTAAGAAAATTTAACAAATAGAGTACCTGATCTGTCTCATCTGCTCGAAGACATCAGCAGAGTATATGTTGTACTCATCAGCAAAATAGACAATGCCATCAAGGTGGTGTGTTTCAATGTGAGAGAGTGCCACATTCCTTAGATGCACATTTTTCTCTTTCACATCAGTTGAGTTCTTGCTGCACACAAGATGTCTGTACATGACTCCGGTTCTTCTCAATATATCAGCAGTTTCAACAGATTGGGAGTTCATCTCAACAACTATCCACAATAAAGGAGAAGGCACCAACTCTAATGCATAGGCCAGACGATTTAGATAGTATGCTTGAAATGGACGGGTTTCTGTAGGAGTCACAATAATCAAAAGTTTACGGGACACTGTCGGATCTTGGTCAAGTGATTGATTAAAGGAGGCATTGTAGGCAATGTCTTCTTTCAGTTCAACATGTACTAAGTTAGGCTCTGATGTCGAATTATCTATGATAGGCAAGTCCTCTGTGGTTGAAGTCACATTTTTAGATACATCATATGATCGAGCATTTTCTTCTGGCTGGAGGACCTCAAAGGATAAAGCTTGATGTTTAGAGATAAAATTTGTTGACAAATTTAGTAATGGAGTAAGGCCAATAAATACTCCAAGAATGAAGCAGAAAAACAATTGCAGAATAGCTCTCCTCCAAATGAGCCCCTTCAACTTTGACCTTTCTAAGGGCCTAGAAGATCGTCGTGACAAAAGACCAACTACAAATGTCTGAACCTTGTAGATGGCATAATCGAATGAACCAAAAGAAGGAAGCAATGCACCAGTTGGTGTATTACTGTTGGTACATGATGAAGACTTGGACAGTGGAGAGGCTGCAGGACATACTTCTCCATTCATAGTGCTTCCAGGACGAGGCACTGGGGACAACGTTCTTCTAATCGAAGCCATAATAGTAACCAGGCAACACTAAATTGTTTCAAAGAGACTCTAGCTAAAAGTAACCAATACGAAGTTCACTAAATTTGGCACACCAAAGTAATTCTACCTTACAGGCCTTATCCAACTAAATCAATATGGTGAAAATTTCTGAAACTATAGACAGCTAAAAATGGGGGAAAGCTTATAAGAACCAGAACAGTTAGTAACTCCATCTTAGTACATCAAGTACAGTGAAAATATCCTCAAAAATAGCAAATTCAGCACAAGCTCAACTAACCACCAGACTCTTTTGGCAGCACAAGAGTCAATCACAATACATTGTCCATTCTTCAACATTCAAAGCTTCTCTAAGTATTGATCTATAATCAAACAATGAAACACCATATATATAAGAAAAAATAAAAAAAATCAAAGCTTTCTTACAGAAGAGCACAACACCACCACCAACCAAATCTTGAATGAAGTCAACAAAAAGCCAATACCCATCATTAAAGAAAAAAGTCAATTCTGACCTGAAGAAAACGCCAGATTTGAACTTCAGATGAGCAAATCTTGGACTCAAATGAAAAGGGTTACCCCATTTTCTTGCAATAAGAAAAGGGTCATCGATCTTTTGGTATTCAACTCAATAGAAAGACAAACAAGAAGAAGAAGCAATCACACAGTTACCCGAGGTTATGCAAAAGAAAAAAAATCCTCTTTTTGAGACAACTTAGCTAAGACAGAGCTGAAAATAGAAACTTCAATAACCTTACTTTTTGGGGCAACTAATCAAACATATTGAATGAGCTCAAAGTGTTCAATGTTTTGAATCTTGAGCAAAACAGCCACTACAATTGCCACAGTAAAAAGAACAAGAAAAAAAGGGCACACTATCTTTTTTTTTAATTACTACTCACTTTATATACATGTTTTTTTCGTTTTTTTTGGGTCACACTGCTAAACTTTTATCTTTATAAAACCGCGTGGTCAATCTAGTTTGATTTGATACAGAGTTTCAAAATAATAAAATAATTTACATAAAATATGTGGTATGAAATGAATTATAGTAGATATTTATAAAGTATTTTAGCAAAATTAAAATGTTTTTTTTGAAGATTCACTATTAAAAAAAAAAGACATATAAATTAAAACAGACGGAAGTATTGACACAATTTTGAATCATTACATGACCGTTATAATTGTTTTAAAAAAATAACTATTTGATAAAATAAATTTAAAGTTTGATATAATATTTTAGTAATACAAGGTATATATAAAATGAAGTTTGAGGTTGATAACTCAACTTTATTCTTAGATTTTATATTTTTGCATTACTTAAGCATTCTTATTTGTAGTATTATCATAGAGTATATTATAAAATCTATGAAGATACCTTCTCAAAAAAAACTCTATAAAGATCATAGAATATTTAATTTTTTCTCTAGTTTTTATTTTCTTCATGCTTGTTAATTAGTAGATATATATTACCTCATTAGAATTAGTAGAATAAGGCATAGACCCTTGCTTGTACTTTTCTCTTTGAGATCCTTTTTTTTCTTTATTAATAAAAACTAGTCCTAGACACACCTTACCTAGCACCATTCTTTTAAAAAAACACGACAAGTCATTAATACGATTACATTGATTTTCTTCTATTAGTGCTTATAGAATAGGGGTATAAGTTAAATTAATATATTAAACTCTATAAGCAATCAAATAATGTGGCAAAATGAGCCTAATATATTGTACTATTTTCCCTTTTTGTTACAAAAATAATATTCCTGCTATACTAATTTAAAAAAATACCATAAAGGACCATACAAGAGAAAATGTGTCCACCTATCAAAAGGGGAAAAAAGAGAGCTAGCAGTCAGTACAATAATGATTAACTAATAAATGATAATAATTAGGATGCAGATTCAAGATGTAATCTTTTCTGTAGTTATATACATTCACCATGTTATTCAATTAATTTCCCCACTTTATGGATTTTTGTTGGGGGTAAAACTATTCACATAGACTAGTGAACTATAAGCAATCATGCTTAATTTAATTTGGCAATGATCAAATACTTCAGAATTTGTTTTAACATTGTCATGAGAAAGTTCTAGTACATTGAATATCTGAGATCCTAGGGGTGTCAATGGCTTGGTTGGGTTGAATTTGGACATGTTAAAATAAGTTAAGTTAATAGATGGACGAGTTATCGATTCAGAAATTACTTGAGCTAAAATGAGCTAAAATTCATATCATAATTCACTATGCTCAATTCTTACTAATTTTAAGGGATCGTTTGGTAGCTAGTGAAGACACAACTCATTTTTGTATTAATTTATGCATAACTTATACAATCTTTGGTGGCTAGTTAAGAAGTAAGTTACATATATAAAATTAATATATTACCACGTTTGATTGGTAATTAGAAACATGTATACTAATAATATATATATAAGTTATGAGAAAATTTGTGTATTATCTTATACAAGATAGAATATGGAATAACTAAGCAGACATTTGGACGTACGATTTCATCTCCTGATTTGAAATCATAAGATGGAAATCAACGTTTGGACATGCTATTTCATCTCATGATTTGAAATCATTAGATGAAATCTCAAATTCTCCAAAAAACTTGATTTGGAAATTTCATATCATGATTTCACATTTTTCAAATATAAAATTTTACCTACAAGTTTACATTTTGTAAAAAACAAAACATCAATTTTATATATACCAACCATTTATTTCATATATATGTAAATCAAATTTATAGTTGATATTATTACTCTTACCAACCTTTAATCCATTTATATCGAATATAGCCATTACTCTCATTGTTACTTTTACCAACATTCAAATCATTTATATCGATAAATGCATGTTCAATGTTAGGAGATTGTCCATACAGTACATGTGAGAGGATTAAATTAAAGAGTCGTACAATATAACTTTTTACTTTTTTATTGAGCTAATGTTCGGTCAATAAGTGTTGCATTTAAAAATAAAAATTGTGATAGTGTGTTATACTTTTATTATGAACTTTTGCTTATTTGGTATGATTGTATAAAGAATTGAAGCAATTTTGATAGTTTTTACAACTTATGAATTTTTATGTTTACGAGCAAAAAATACAAATTAAAAATTCAAATTGCATGTCAAACAAAACTTTAACTTCATCTCATATTATTTCATACCATAATTTCAATCATGATTTTATCTCACATGACTAAACCTGCTCTAAATTAATTTATTTACTACAATATATAAATTGTTTACTCTTCATAAGACCATGATCAACTCCTTCTATGCCCCAGGAAAAGGCGAAAAGTAAAGCAGTCATCAAGTCAGAGATAGTTTTACAGCTATCGATTTGCACTCGCGGATCAAAGAAGACCAATAAAATCCCGATTCAACATAAGTAAGGGATGAGAGAGGGTATTATGAGAATTTCAACTATAAAGTCACTTGGCTTTTTATAATTGGCAATTTGGCATCATGGTATGACTTTTTTTAATCACTTTTATAAAGCCACTTGGGTCTTTGTAGATTTTTTTTATTTTCTACTATATTATAAAAGAGAGTTTAGGCCCAAATATAATATATAATATTCAAGATTGGGAAAAGTCTGAATCTTGAATATTATATATTATATACTTGTGGGACTTTTAAACTCTCTTTTATAATATAGTAAAAAAAATATATATAGTAGAATATATAGTAGAACTTCGGCATAAACTCCGTTTTAAAATAATATAGAATATGTATATATATAAATCACAAATGGAAAAGTCTAAATCATTCTACTATATTATAAAAGAGAGTTTAGGCCCAAATATAATATATAATATTCA